TCCCACTCTCCATGTTGGGTTTTCAATGTGTTTTAGACAATCCCACTCTCCATGTTGGGTTTTCAATGTGTTTTAGACAGTCCCACTCTCCATGTTGGGTTTTCAATGTGTTTTAGACAGTCCCACTCTCCATGTTGGGTTTTCAATGTGTTTTAGACAGTCCCACTCTCCATGTTGGGTTTTCAATGTGTTTTAGACAGTCCCACTCTCCATGTTGGGTTTTCAATGTGTTTTAGACAGTCCCACTTGCCATGTTGGGTTTTCAATGTGTTTTAGACAGTCCCACTCTCCATGTTAGGTTTTCAATGTGTTTTAGAAAGTCCTAGTCTCCCTGTTGGGTTTTCAGTGTGTTATATATTTATAAGAATAAAAAGTGTACAATCTCCTTTAGATCTACCTGTAACTATGGAGTACAGGGGCCTGTCAGATTGGATAGAAATTGATTGCATTGTTTTCATATTACACAGTTTTTGTAAATCTAAATGAAATTGTACAGTTAGATTTTAACATGTACGGTGAGTTTAAGATGGGTGGGAACAGGGTGGGTTGATAATCAGATGGAAATACTGCTGGAGAGCAGAAGGCTTGTTGGAACTACAGGTAATTACCACTTATAGGGATATACAGTATGTCTTGTCCTAACCATGCAAGCAATAAGAAAACTGTTTAAAGTTCACGTGGCTCAGTAGGGTTGGTTGAGCCTAACATTCTCACATATGTTGGATTTACTTGCTAAATGACTTCATGACACACAGTTAACATACAAGACATTGTTAGCCTTTGATATTTTCAGATATTATGTAGATGTTTTTGTGTTCTCGTGAACTAGGCATACATTGATATTAAAATACTGATGTAAAAAACAAAAAAAAGCACAATATTAAAAGATGTTGACAATATGGCACCATTTTTCACATTTAGTGCCCTCCATTTCAAATCATCCGGGTCTGGGATTTCACAGAACATCCCAGTCCAACCTTCAAAGCACTGACACACAAATTTATGCTTCATGTACTGGACATCTTCTTTTCCATGGTGACCAGTTACATAATGCCCCTTACCATTAAAACGGGACTTTATTTTAAAATTCTTTGGATTCAAGTGTAAGTACGTTGCTGAATTCTGATTCTTTCTTACACACCTCCCATTTTTTCCACATAAAACCTTGCTGCAAAGTTTAGCAGCAGAAGTCACATTGACAATGTAGCGTCCAAACTCTCCATCAATGTAGTTCTTCACTAGGTTACAGCTGTTCTGAAAGTAAGAAATACAACATAAGGTTAGGTTTTGTCAGTTTTAAGGGTATGTCCTCTATTGCAGGCCTTGACAAAATCAGGCATTGGGTCTAAGGAGAAGGCCCTGTAAAGTCTTCTTTTTTCTACTACCTTTCATGTCTGCAGCATCACCCCATGGATGACCTTTCCCAGTGCCAGTCACAGCATTGATTACACATGCTCAGGAGACTATGGTCCATAGAACTAGGCAGCACCTATCGCATTGCTCTGCTGGTGCAATGTTGTAGTTTTAAGTAGCAGGAGTAAGGGCCAGACAAGCTCTCCAACTTATGCTGACATACAATTTTGTCAGACTCACTTTAGGCACCATTCACACTGGTGGGCTTTTTTGGGGCATCTGTACTGGCATTTTTGTCCACCTTTAAGGCGTGAGTGTTTTGGTTATTACTATTTTTAGTCAATGAAATTCTAGTTACCAAGCAAGAACGTACATGAGAAACACACATTTTGTGCATTTTTTCATGTTTTTCCTGCACTATTATTGAAGTCTATTGGGGGGGAAAACACTCATTCTGCCCTAAGAGAAGCTCATGTACTGTTTCAAGTTATAGACATTTTTCTAAAAGTTACAGAATACTCAGAAGTGAGCAGGGGCCATTGAAAACGAGATTCCTTCTGTTGATGGTTGTAGCGCTTAGGCGTGGTGTGAATGGGTGCTTCAAACAATATACATAGAGTAGCTTTATATCTTACCGGTGTACTAGAATAATCACTGCCTCCCCACAGCACTACTCCTGCTGCCCCTAATGCAGCACTTTCTCCAATTGTGTTAATTAGGTCAATCTGATATGAAATAAAATGAGAAATGTTACTGTTCAGTATATTATTAATTGCAAATAGTAATCATTTGTTTACATTGGGGAGCCCATAGGATGGGATCATTTATAAGATTTAGCCAAGAGTTACTTCAGTTGGTGAACTTGTATCAAGAAGAGTTTAAAGGGGAACAGAAATGAAAGGAAACTACACTGAGAAAAAAAAGCCAAAAGAGGCTGCCATTGCTGATCTTTTGAAAATCCAAATTGCCTGTCTGTCTCAGTTTTCAATACCTTTAAGAATCAATAGCCCAAAACAAGCACAAAGCCAGTGGAGTCAGAGCAAAGTACTACAGTCAGAGCATCAGTGACCGGTTTCCTTTAAACCATTATTTTCACCTTGGCAGTCAAATTTGAGAAAGCCCCAATGTATGTTTGTTATGTGCTCCAATTCACACAACATACAAAAATATGTAAATAAAAAACGTACCCTTCTAGTTGTTCCATTGGAGCATGTTTATGCATAAGACTGCGAGCTAGGGCTGCACTGAAATTTTGGCCGACGAAACATATCAGCCAAAAATGGTACTTTGTGGAAAATGACAAAAGTACCATGTTTTATCCGAAATGGCGGTGCATCTCTAGTTTCTCTCCTTCCCCCTGTGCGCTGCTCTGTGTCCGCACTGACACAGAGCAGCATCTAGCGGGGAGGAGAGAAAAAGAGGCCGAGCTGGGAGTGTGTCACAGGAGGCCGAGCTCTCCCGCACCGCCCTGCTCAGCCTCCTGTGACAGATCAGGAAGGAGAGCTGTATAGGGGAAGAGACAACTGACAGGAGGCCGAGCTGGCGGTGTGGGGGAGGAATCAGCTGTCAGAGATCATTGAGCTCTCCTCCCGCACTGCCGGCTCAGCCTCCTGTGACAGGTGAAAGAGTCAGGACAGGGAGCGGGTACAAGCAGTCAGTGATCGCTGAGTGTTTGTAAATAATTGAGGACATGGTATGTTTACTGTGCCCCCAATTGTGAATGAATAGGAAGTGCTCTACATCATTTCCTGTTAATTTATGATTGTGGACATAGTAAACATACTTTCCTTTCCAGAGTCCCCATGTTTCACTACAGAGGCCCCCCTTTCCATCAGAGTCCCCCCTTCATTTGAGGAGCACCCCCTTAACATCAGAGTCCAACCTTATAAATTTCACTATAGTGCGGCAGCAGGGCAGAGGTGGAGCACGTCTGGATGAATGCAGACTTCTGTCCTACTCTGGATCCTGGGCAGGGTCCTAGCTGCAGCCTGCCCTGGATTTGCATCATACGTTTTCATGGTGCTGGTAACCCACTTGCTGCACAATGGAAATGCATGAAACTGTCAGGGCTAGTCACAAAAAGGTGAATAGTTAGGAGAAGTGAACAATCTAGGACAACCAGGGGCGTCCCGAGGCTGGGTGACACCCGGAGCGGTTACCGAGTGTCACCACACCGACTAGCCACTGCGCATGCGTGTGACGTCACCAAGAAGAGTGCCACACGTGCGCGATGACGGCATCGCGCATGCGCGGCACTCTGATACCTGCCGGCAGCCATCTTGGTGATGGACGCCGGCAGAGAGAGGAGGGGACAGTCACCCGGCGGAATAAGGTATGCCACCGGGTCCCCTCTTCTCTCTCCTGAGATTGTCCCTCTTCTCTCTCCTGAGATTGTCAGGCGTTCGGTCCATGACCGAGCGCCCGACTTTTCAGAGGGGGGTGACACCAAAATGACTGTCAGTCATTTTGGTGTCACCCCTCCAATGGTGTCACCCGGGTGCGGGCCGCACCCCTCTTGTGACGCCACTGAGGACAACATAGCTCAACTGGAAAGTGAGCTAAATTGGAGAATTTTCCCAAATTAGCTATTTTGGCCTCGATTGTTCACTTCTCCAAACTTTCCATCATTTTGCGAAGACACGGCTGAAAAAGTCAGAAGGCACTTCAGGATGCTATGGCATCCAGATTGGGAAAGGCTGTTTTAGATCCTATGTGGTATAGAGGGCCGCATCACTTGTCAAAGTGTGACAGGAAGATCGTATGGTTTCCTTGGCTGCAAATAACCCTGTCTACATCATTTCAGGTCTTAGCGGCTTGAGGGGAGGAACCACAGAGACCAGCAGGGAACACACTATCTGACACCAAGAAGTGCTGGATAGCAGTGGTGCTGTTAGCTCCACAAGAGCTCCAGTAAGAATTAAGTATTGAACTTTTTCTATGACAGGGTGCAGAACAAGCGAACACAATATTAAATTGTGCAGGTATAATTGTTGTGACACTGTATCACCCCCTCAAAGCATGCGCTACAGACTTATTATATTATTATTAGTGTTTTTTACCATCACTTTTAGTGCGACAATACACACTGTCCCTACCTGCAAAATAGATAGCCAACCTCCCCATAAGGCTTAAGAGACATATTTAAGGATATCAAAAGCCAAAACCTTTTTTTTGATAAAGTAAGAATTGGTTTAACCCCGGTCAGGTTTTTTTGTCATCATGGAAAGATTTTCCAACACTTTCTAGAGTGAATCTCCACAGCGACAACAGCAAAAACCGGACAGGCCGGAAAACCCTTCTCAGCCCTTTCCAAAACTTAAAAAAAGTTGCCTTTGGATACAAATAATGAATACAGAACTGCATCAGTTTGCATCTTTTACATTTGCCTATAGTTCAGCAGATAGATAGATAGATAGATAGATAGAGAGATAGAGAGATAGATAAGACAACTGTACACTGTATATAGTATACATTTTATTTTACTTACCTTTGACAATGGATCAAGAGTATAAGAGTAAAAAGGTCTTGCATATGCATAAATTGGCAGTTCGTAAGATCTACCTGACATTGCAGCAACACGTGTTGCTTCTTTTAAACGATGATGAACAAACTTTTGTGCATTTGTTGTCGATTTCAAAACCGTATCTAGATATATGGAAGGGAAAAGGGCAGTGCTGTATTTCCACATCCACTGCAGGTAATCATTGCGCTTCATTTCAATAGCTGGACATTTTCCTGTATAGGTATCAGGATACTTCTTATAATCATGATTGTAGCAATCTGGAAAGAGATAATAACCCCAAAGGCCATTAGGTCTTATTTCCTGCGCCAGAAGAACAGTCTCGCTCATAAAACTCTTTGCAGCAACAGTAAATTCTTCTTTGGCTTGTTTCTGCAGTAAATCACTAGGCCAGTCCGGATGAAGCGTCTTTACCAGCTGAATTGACTTTGTTCTGTAGATGCTTTTCTTGTCCCAGTTCCTATCCCACAGGGGCCTCCAGTTTTCCCAGTCGATGACCCCCAGTCCTTGGAAATCTTTATTTGGTACAAATCTGACAACATCTTCTTTAGCTTTACTGAGGTGTTTTGTGAGGCTTTGATTTTGCGGTACCCCTCCATTAACAGATGTGTCATCATCATTGACATATGGGTAGTACCCGAGATGAGTATGATAAAATATTGTGACATTCTGACCACTTAAGGTTTGATTTTGATTAGCAACTATATCAAAGATACTGAGATCCAGGTCAATTTTATATCTCTGATTACATTGCTGCGTGGGTGCATTCCAGATAGCAAGAAATGGTTTATTGTGCAGCATAGGTGATTTTGCTTGCTTTAACCGCTGACCATTAGTAAAAGTGAAGAAAAGGGCTAAATACCATATCAGCCACTCAGAACTGCAAGTCCTGGAGGACATCATTAAAAGCTTGAATAATATTTTATCCTGTAATCAAAACAAATGACAAAAACATAAGTTTATTGAACGTGATCATATTATACAGAAGCTCCATTAAGTGTTATATAGGTATGATGTGTTATATAGAACTGTACTAGTTTGCTTTTAGCCACATGGGGATCCCTTTTAATCAGAGTTCCTGATGTGAGGAGGACTAGACGTTGCACAAATGAAACTTGTATAAATGCTAAATATAAATGCTAAATATAAGATGCTCATGCATTTTAATCCTAAAATCACAATATGGGGTCTGTTTATAACTAATTTGCAGAGCCTTTGCCCTATGAATCTTTCTGTGTAAATAGACACAAAACAATTTTATTTTCCGGTCAAATGCATATAATGTACTGCTGCATGTTGGCCACTAGATGGAGCTAAGTTGCATTTTCTTTTCAGGTTGAATGTATAATGTAGTACTGCATTTTGCCCACTAGATGAAACTGAGGAGCATTTACTTTTCAGGTAAAATATACTGTATGTAAAGTAATACTGCATTTTGGCCACTGGTTGAAGCTAAATAGTAGAGGTGCACCTAAATGAAAATGTATTTATAAACTTTTTAATTTTTTTATATTTATTTATTCCGTTTTTATTAAATATTTTTAACTTTACTTTTAGGGGCTTTGGTGGAATATTAGGGGTCTAACAGACCCCTGATATTTCCCTTTTAAAATAGAAAAATAGATTGAGGACACAGAGTCCTCAATCTCTTTTTCTGCAGCCCTTTATAAATGAACAGGAAACCTCTATACTGAGTGTTCCTGTTCATTCATAACATGCGGACATAGTGTGTTTATTATAACCACAATCATGAATGAAAAGGAGGTGATGTAGATCACTTCCCATTCATTCATAATTGAGGATATAGTAACCATACTCTGTCCTCAATTATCTACAAACACTCAGCGATCACTGAGTGTGTGTACTTGCTCTCCTTCCTGACATGCTGTCACAGGAGGCTGAGCAAGCAGAGCTGGCTGTCTCCGCCCACACCGCTCTCCTGTTCTGTCACAGGAGGCTGAGCGGTGTAGGAGGAGAGACGCCAGACGCTCACATCGCTCTCCTCCCGCAGCGCTCGGCCGCCTGTGACAGTTTCTCTCCTCCCCGCTGGGACATAGAGCAGCGCCCAGCAGGGAGGAAAGAAAGAATAGATGCACTGCTGGTATCGGCCAGAAAATGGCACTTTCGGCATAATGCCAAAAGTGCCATTTTCGGCCGATATGTTTTTCGGCAGCCGATATATCGGTGCATCCCTACTAAATAGCATTTTTTTGTCAGATTGAATGTATGTAATGTAGTACTGCATTTTGGTCACTAGCTGGAACTGAGGAGCATTTACTTTTCAGGTCAGATATACTGTATGTAAAGTAATACTGCATTTTGGCCACTGGTTGAAGCTGAATAGCATTTTTTTCCCCAGATATACTGTATGTAATATAGTATTGCATTTTAGCCACTAGATGAAGCTTATCCAGAAATAAACACTATTTTCTATGCTCCTCAGCTCGATGTAGTGGTCAAAATGTGGCATTACATACATTCAACTCAAAAAGAAAATGCTCCTCATCGCCATTTCAAAATGCAATGCAGTAATACGTTACATACATTTGACCTGAAAAGAAAATGCTCCTTAGCTCCATCTAGTGGCCAAAATGCTTTCACCTTTAGTATGTAAGCACCATGGCTAAGTGGTTAACTCATTAGCACTGCAACTCTGGATCCTGATGATTGAACTGTATATTTTAGGTTTGTGGGGCTATGTACTATCGGTGGCTTCCTGTCACTTTCCAAAAACCATGCTGGTCCGGCCATTTGTAACTGACCAAATTCACGTATGTGTGCGATATGTGCAGCATAACACTCCTGCTTTGCAGCAAGGTACATCGTCTTCATGCACTTTAGATATCTATATATAGTATTTTGTGTGCATGTCCTCTGGGTGTTCCAGTTTTTCCCATAATTGAGAAACACACTCATAGGTTAATTGGCATTGTCCCACACTACCAGTAATGGTTCTCAACTAGTGGGTCTTAAACCAAAAGTGGGTCACAACCCTGTGTTCAGTGGGTCGCTACATGCCTTCCACTTTTCTAGATTAGAGGCTCCTCAGCCTTGCCCTAGCGCAGCACTGTCAGCTTTTGTGTGAAGCAGCAATTCAAAATATGCTGCCCGGCACCTAGTGTCAGCTTGAGGTGGGAGAGGATGGGGCTATGGCTGCGAGGGAGCTCCATCCATACGTGTATTGCTTACAGCTCCCTCATATGTCCTATAGGAGGTGCCTGGACTGGAGTGACATCACATTCTGGCTCCCGGGAACCTTTACTGGGCGCGCAAGGGAGCTGTACAAGTAATACACATATGGATGGAGCACAGCAGCCAACACTGGAACCCAGGCTGAGTATCCACTCCAGTTCTCATAAGGTAGAGAGACTGGTTGGATCTTAAAAAAAAAACCAAAAAAAAACATTTTTTGGAGCATGTATGTGTGTGTGAGAATGTCTGGGAGGGTGTGAGATTGTGTCTGTGGTTGTGTGTCTGCCAGTGATTTTGAGGCCCGTTCACACTAGTACAGTGCGTTAATCGCACAGTCTCATTCGATTAACGCACTGTACCAAGCAATTGCACCGACTGTGCATTCTGGTGTGGGAGATGTGTCATGTTGCCATCCACTTGAAGGGTACCCCAAACGCACCTTCCATCCGCAGTTCGTATGCCCGCACCCGAACGTGTGGTACCCTAATGCCATGCGTTCCATTGCAGTGCAGACATGGGTCACAACTTAATGACCAAGAACAAATGTGGGTCTTGAGGTTACACAGCTTGAGAACCACTGCGCATCAGATTGTTCACATTTTTCTTTTTTTTGTTTTACTTTAAGTGTCACAAAATGACACTTCGTTAAATTTAATGAGCCACAGCCAAGTTGCAATGTGGTGACTTCAGGTGACCTCCAGCATGTTTTCTATGTTTCTCATTCATACGACGACTGAGCAGGACAGAGAGGGGGTGGGAAAATGCAACGTCTGCATTTTTCCACAATGCACATGAAAACAAAGGGGTTATTGCATATGTCTGATTTTTGTTGCTGTCTTCATATTTGTTTTTAGTATTGGCGAATGGTTTGTGGTACATGTTTTCAGAATATAGCTGCTGCTTTGAAGCAGTCAGTTAGACCTACCGGATATGTTTTTAGGGAAATGTGCATTATGCAACTTGCATTCATCACTGCTCAGTGTGTGAGCAGACTGTAAAGCTGTAGCCTGCCAATGTACAGCATTAAGAGTAGTATTCTTCCCTGGAGGGAAACCACACATGTTTCATACATTGTAGGTATTAAGAGAATAACATTTCCAATCCTTCATACAATGAAGTGTAGTAAAATATCATACAAAATTTGCGGGTTTCAAAATATTTGTGGCTGTAATTCTCTTTGCAGTACGCTGTAATTGTTTTACATCTATATTGACCAATTTATTTACAGAATACATCATTTAGGTGTAAAATGGGAAGGTCTGAGGCTTTTAAAAAAAGAACAATATTGAGAGGAAATATTTTTGTTTCTTCTAAACACATATAATATATACAGTATAACAGAAAGAGCTATATTTATAAAAGTGCTAGGTCTTTCAGTTTAGATTTTCACTGCTGATTGTGTAAGTGATCATGTGAGCTCCTAGCTGTTGTAGTGGAGACCCACTGCTGGGCATATGTAAAATTTCACATGGCAATACATTAAAGTGCCCATGTCTCGATTGTGTAAAGCCCCACCCCTTTCTAGCTAAGCCTGCCCCCTTGATTCTTGTATGTAAATAACTGGTGTAAAATGCTGCACCAAGATTTTAAGCATGTAGTAGACCTAGAATAAAACATTTTAATTTTTTTTATAGTACTTTAGGGGATATAAATGTAGTAGACCGGCATGAACATTTCTCAAGAAGGACAGCTATTGCTAGACCAGCGTTTCTCAACCCATGGCACCCGGGCTTCCTCAGGCATGACTCAAAATGTTCACACAGCATCATGCCTTTCCATGGTGTAGGTGGGCCAGCCACCAGCACAATGAAAACAAATTATGCTAATTTAGGGAAGGTGAATTCGGTTCTGAAAAGGACAGAAGCTTCCCTCTGTCAAGGCCTGCTCTGCCATGCTGCCAGCTCCTGCTGTGTTGGCAGAACTCTGATGTAAAAAGGGGGACTGATGACTCTGATGGAAAGGGTTGACTTCTGATGTAAAGAGGGCTTCTGAAGTGAAGGAGGGACTCTGATTTGGAATGGGGGGAGGGCTCTGATAAGAAAGGGGCGCTCTGATGAAAAGGGGAGACTCTGATATGAAAGTGGGCACTGGTGAAAGGGGGGGCTCTGATGGAAAGTGCTCTAATGTGAAAGGGGGACTGATGACTCTGATGTAAAGGGGGGCTTCTGAAATGAAGGGGGTACTGTAATTTTTAAATGGGGGGGGGGACTCTGATAAGAAAGGGGGGCTCTAATGAAAAGGGGGGCCTCTACTATGAAGTGGGGGCACTGATGAAAAGAGGGGATTTTGATATGAAAGGGGGGCTCTGATGAAAAGAGGGAACTGATATCAAAGTGGGGCTTTGATGAAAAGGCGGATTCTGATGTAAAAAGAGGGGCTCCTAATGTAAAGGGGAAACCCCACTTTCCTTTGCGTTTTTGTGTTGGGTCTTAAAACCTATACCAGACCCCTATCTTGTATAAGGGTCTGGTATGGATTTTGTAGGGAGCACATTTACATTTTTAGACTGCTGCACATTTTTAAAAAGGTGTTATGATTGAAAAATGGTTGAGAAACGCTGGTCTACACCCATTATACGATTGTCCATTGACCACCTAGCATAAACCTAATATAGGTATAGGAAAAATGTAACCCTTTCTGTAAATAAAAGTTACTTTTTATAGTGGTGTATTCTAGCTACAGTAGGTGCACACAGATTTAATCTTTTTTACTTCTATGTACAGGCAGGGCTCCTTTTCAGAATATCTGTGGAGGTTTGAACTAGGAAAAGAAATGCTCGGGCTACATGACCCAGAAGGCATTTCTTCTGGTCCTTTATATGTTTTGAAGAAGTGTACTCTTCACCCATAATAACGTAGCAGAGGAGAGGTGGGAACCGACATAATGTTTGTGAGGTTGTCAGATTAGCAAGCAACTCCCTTGTTACAAGTAAAGTAGATACAGAGTTAAACGACAATATTTAGGAATGTCAGTAGCTCCTGATTTTAAAACAACGTTCTGCTTTTTCATTAGATGAACAGTCTTCTCAAAGAGAATCATTCAAGATTAGGCTTATGTAAAAATGTAAATATTCAGTATTAAATAAATTGAATCCCAAATCCTAATCAAATCTGCACTATAAATGTACAAGCTAATGCTGTTACATGCATCGATGTGTCCCTGAACTAGTCCGAGCAATTAAATCATATATCATCATATATGTTGCTCCAGGTCGGTCCACTCTTGCCCGCCACATTCAGATGCTCACACAGATTGTCAATGGTGATACTGTTGCAGATGTAGAACAATTGGATAGTGGCATTCTGACATATTCCAAAAGCAGCTTCTTTGTTTATCTGCGTAATTGATTTTATGGATCAATATAGACCTGTAACATGTTTCATGCACACAGATGCTTGGTCATGGATTTGCATAGGTGCGAAGTCATAGATTCTATGACTAAGCGTCTGTGTGCATGAAACATGTTAGAAGTCTCTGTTCATCTCCTGTGTAATCGATTTTATGGATCAAGAGAGAAGCTACACAAGTGTAATACAAGTTATTAAACAGATGCTTTAAAAGGGTATGCAGCAAAAATTGTTCTACCTAGAAAACAGTCTAAATACAATTATTTGAGTCAGTAGGAACATTAATGTTTAAAGCAGCATTGCACTCTCAAACGTTTTTCAATAATGAATTCAGAGCAAACAAATATACATTGTCCAGCAAAGTATTCCTTTATATTTTTGCCCAAGCACTTAGAGTCCTCATGTTTCCGGACAACTCCAACTCTCTCAGCTCAACACACCTGAACTTCGTGTCCAGTACAAGATCACAAAAGAAGGCACAACATCCAACAGCTGTTCATCTACTAGCTTGTAGAGGAGTAGGGAGAAGAGAGCAGAGGAGTAGATTGCCCTGCTGTATAACACACAAGGGTGGCTCCGTCGGACCCTGCAAGGGAAAGGAGCCACCCTAAATAAGGATATGATGGCTAGTGCTCAGGGAACCAGTTGATTCTACAGGAAACAAACTTCTAAACATCAAGGAGCAGCATCCTGGTGTAAGTGATTTGAAATAGCTTAACCACCTCCCGTCTGCCAAACGTTGAAAAGCGGCCGGACGGGAGTCTTCTGGATGCGGGTAAGCGTCTTTAAACGTCCTTTGTGCCCGCGCCCCCTGGCGCGCACTAGCGGGTGAACCACCAGAATTTTAAACAGCCAGCAATGGCCGTTTACATACATGCAATCCGTCGTCTGTAAAGACACCCAATCGCTTGTATGCTGCATATCTATGTGCGACCCCCCTTCTCCTTACCTCTCCTCGCCATCCCTGATGCCCCCGGGTGTCCGATCCGGGACCGGCAGTGTGGCTCTGTGCACGGAGAACGGAGGGCGATCAGTACACAATCTCCCTCCGCTCTCCTCCCCGGTCTCTGAATGCAGGAAGTGATGTTTACTACATCACTTCCGCATTCCTCTGTCACTCGCCGGTACAGAAACCGGAGAGAAGCTGATGAAGCAGATCTGTGATTCATCAGCTTCTTTGGGGGTCCCTAGGTGACATTAGGGGTCTTATAGACCTTTGATATCTCCATAAAGACCTGTCACTGTAATTTGATATCACATAGGAGGATCCTTATCCCCCTATGTGATACATGCCGCCGCGAACATCGCAGTGAGAGCAAAAATTCTAGGGCCATCAATCACTGATAACACTAAACTGATGAGCGGTAAATCTTTTAAAGCATCGCCCATGGCCAATTTTGGGTATGGTAGTTTTTTGTGATTTCCCGGGCACGCACAATTTTAAGGCTTCACATGTTTGGTGTCTATTTACCCGACATGACCCCGTCTTTTATATTTTACCAAAAATTGGGTAATAATAAATGTTTCCTAACATAATAAAGGGAAACTAGTTTTGTTTTTAATTTTCGGTACTTTTTTCATTATATAGTAAAAAATAAAAACCGCACGGGTGATTAAATACCACCAAAAGAAAGCTCTATCTGTCCCCCAAAAATGGTATAAAATTAATTTCAATACAGCGTTGCAGGGCGGAATGAATGTCAGTCAAATTACTGCAGCGTGAATACTGAAAAATGGCCTGGACTTAAAGAGGGTGTAAACATTACGGTCAGCAAGCCGTTAAAAACGTTTTGACTTTAATATCACATTAATGCATGTAGATATATTGCTTATATTGTGCGAATTATGCATGCGCAAAACCCTAAACAACAAGCGCAAACAAGCAGTTGCCTGATATTGTAAACAGCTGTTGCGGGATTTTTTACTGTTGCGTCAACATTGACCCTTTATTATTTTACCTTGAAAGCTACCATTAAACAATTAAATGTATACAATAACATAAGAAAATTCCACATCCATTTAAATACCTATAACATGCATCTTTTTTTCCCCACTCCCAACCCTTGTTTTATATCCAGGGCCAGGCTCACTATTTCACTTGCTTATCAGGCTAACACAAAAGGCACTTGAACCACTCCACTTAAAAAGAAATAGCAGGATCTAACTCAAACAATGGAATATAATTCATGCTGAATTATTAGAATTCTGCTTTTCACTGTAATCCTTAAAGTCAACACTGAATAAGACTGAACAAATATTGACAAACTTACTATACAATCTTTATGTCGTCATAAATCATTAAGCCAAATAGTCCATGCGCGTAATATCCAATAATTAAGAACCTTTGTAAATATCTGCTGAAAATATATAAATATATGTTAAATCAGGAATTATGCTAAAAAGGAGTTGATTTAATTTATATGTTTTTTTCAGGAATGCTTGAATATGAATTGTATTCTGCTTTAATACATTTTAATACTTTATTGTTCACTTGGAAAAGAACACAATGCGTAACAGATGGCTGTTAACAGTTGCAAGGGGTAAGAATTCCAAGAAATTATGACCCTTTGGCTATGCCCATGCTGAAGTCATTAGTGGCAATGCAAATGAGAATCTGCCCATCCAAACTGTGACAACAAAAACATATAGTGGATTCATGAAAAGTAAAATATACAACTTCACACTACTCTTATCAGAATACATAATATAGACAGGCAGGCACTGGCAGAGTAAAATTAATGTAAGGAAATCTTAAAAATGTAAATGCATGCAACATAACACTTTTTTATATTCAAAGTCTTTTAGTAAGCCAGTCAAGTCTGTCACCTACAAAAGAGTGCTTGCAAACCTAGAGGTTCACTAAATGGACAAGACATTATTTTTAGCCGAGTCCAATAAGATATGAAAATGACAGTCACATGGCTAAATTAGAGTGCCTTATCATTATGTTAAAGCTTTGTTAATTTATGTGTGATGCAATTACAAAAACATTCAGTTCCATATTATCCTAGAGATGCTGATTTCACTATGCGCATCCCAGTTTTTCTTCCCGTTATGATAATGGATTTTGAAGGCGTGGCTGCAGTTATTAACAAATTATTATCTCACAAACTTACCTTTAGTGGAGGATGAAGGAAGAGTTGGCAGGGATTGTGCTCTCTGAGCTTACAGTGCTCTTACTCCTTGTCATATGAGGAGTGCTTTAATGAAATCCAACTGTAGAAAAAAAAAACCCCACTTGTGAAGATCAGATTTCAAAGTGGCCTTCTGTGACTAATAGAAGCTTGTTGCTCCATTCTTCTCTTGTGAAAAACCTTGGTCTTTGCCCATTAATGATAATTTTTCCCTGACCACATTCCTATGTGTTTCTCTGCTTTTCTTGGGGTCCCCGGTTCAGGTGACACCTATTCACAATTTGTATTCCAGCTATGAATAAATTAGACGTTTTGTTGCAAACATTTAGGAGAAGATCCAATTAGGCAAGTCACATCATCTTTCTCTGTGTTTTTTATTATGTAAAATAACCGGATCCACGTTTTAGAGAAATAAGCATCTTTTGTTGTTTGTTGTGGTAGTACACCATGTTATTTTTATTTTCCACACATAACTAGGAATGATATGCTAAGGGGATGTCTTCAGTGTATTACAAACATGAATAGAACATTTTTGTTTTGCTGGTCTTTTTCCTCATTTCCTTTTCAGTCTAAATGGGACAGTCAACCGCAATAGATTCCTGACAGTGGTTGTAACTCTTCCATAATCTATCCAAAACTAAAAATAGGTGCTGGAAGACTCTTACTGTCCTATGGCTACAGTTATTTAAAGACAGACTAAAGCCAAAACCTTGCTTTTAAACAGTAGCTGCCATTGGCACAGTGTTTTCATGTGGGACGGGAGGGCGCCGCATGGCGAGCACCAAGCCTAGGCGCTGAATCAATCAGCTCCTGGGCTTCTACTCCTCCTACTGAGCATGCCAAAGGAGTGCTAGCAGCAGGCAATCTACTGAATATCTCCCAAAAGCTCCATGGAAAAAGCCCCTCCCACTCTTGACATGAAGTGACAGGCATGGTGGGGTGTGGGGCAGGCAGATTTTGCTATGCAGGCATTAGGCAGATTCTAGTCCAGAGTATAAGTTCTATACATCTGCCTGCTTCTTGATGTTGGGGGGTTGTCTGATTGTCTGACAGAGGTGTGTCAGTGCTCAGTGTGTATGTTACACAATAAAGGGGGCACACTAACCACACAGTCCTGACTGCTATACTCTATAAGTTATGTTTTTTGTTGATAAGTCCTGACCAATGCACCGCATATGATATTTTGTATGTTACACAGTCTTTACTATTGCACTATATTGTATGTTGTACATTATATGAATGTGATCACTCACTTCGTATACTACGCTGTACATTATACAGTCCTGACCACTGCGCTTTATAAGTGTCACATACATGCCAGGAGCGACCAAGCTGAGCAGGGGAAGGCTATACTTGCAAACCTAGTCCAACTCCTGTGAAGGTGGTGATCAGGAGTGAGGACACAGGAACAAACAAGTGTCCAGAATGCAGGTCAGATGAAGTCTGTGCAGACGCTAGGGTGTGTTGACTGGGAATGGCTGATGCAGGATCACAGTGGTACACTGAATGTAGTAGAATACTGTAATAGGTGACTGATGCAAAGGGGGTCACAGGCCTGAGTCATTAATGTCTGGACTAGGGAGTACCAAATTGGAAGCCAGATCAGGATTAAAGTCACAAACAGAGGTCAAACACAGAGAAGCAGGAGAAAGGCACCAAATCGGTAAGCAGAGGCAGGGTTAAGGGCGCAATCCAGGGTTGTTTTCTTTGGTAGTCAAGTGGCTGGTCAGGTCTCAGGGAAACAGGAACAAGCTGAAGACCAGTCAGCAATTAGCTCAGAATCCATGCTGGTTTAAATAGGCATACTGGAGCCAACGTGCACGCCTGTACGTGTGCATACCAGCAGTGGCGTAGCAACCGGGGGTGCAGCAGGGGCGCGGGCCCCGGGCGAAAAGTGAAGGGGGGGCGCCGGGCGAAAATGGCACTTTCGGCTAAATGCCGAAAGTGACATTTTCCTGCCGTTTTGATGAATGTAGGACCATGCATAGCAGAATGAGCATGTGCCCAAGTAGATTTCCTGGTGACTACTGAACAATCCTTACAGTAAGCCACTCCCACTGGTAGGTGTCATATGGACATGCCATTTGCTCACTATGAGTGGTGCAAAATTGCTTTCCTTAGTGTAGCCCTGGGTGTCTTACAGAGTAAGGAGACAGCCAGGAGAGAGCGCGAGGATAGACAGCCACAAAAGAGAGGAAAAACAGACACGAAGGAGAGTGAGCATAGACAGCCATGGGAGAGAGCGAGGAGAGACAGCCAGGAGGATGAACAAGGAGAGACAGCCACGAGAGAGAGTGAAGAGAGAGGAAAGACAGCAGAGAGAGAGAGCGAGGAGGATGAGCAAACAGACAGCCACGAGAGTGAAGAGAGACAGCCAGAGGGGAGAGGAAAGACAGCAAAGAGAGAGCAAAGAGAGACAGCCAGGGGAGAGAGCAAGGAGAGACAGCCAGGCGAGAGAGTGAAGAGAAACAGGCAGAGGAGAGAGAGGAAAGACAGCAAAGAGAGAGCGAGGAGAGACATCCAGGACGATGAGCAAGGAGATACAGCCAGGTGAGAGAGTGAGGAGAGATAGCGAGGAGTGAGATCTTGTGTCCCTGATTCAGGGTCATACACTGCAGAACTTAGTAAATAGGCCAAAGCACAAAGTGTCTGAAAAAGTCTTGTTTGCTCAAATGTACCAAGAGATAGCCTACGCCTCCTCAAAAAGGTGCAGGGACCCAGCGTGCATTCTTGGTTGCTGGGCCTCCAGTGCGTCCCTGCACCTTGTGAGGAGGAGTTGGCTATCTCCTGGTACACCTGCATTTAATTTATCGACTGCATTAATATGCTCCCACTTGGAGACTCGTATACATAGAGTTAGGACCACACTTTACAGAGGTGCCTTGACGGGGCGGTGTGTGGCTTCTACATATTTTTGGCCAAAGGTTTGTGCAACTAAAACCTCTGCTTTTAATGCATACTGTTTTGTTGCAGGCCAGCTGACAGGTGTGCTGGGGACTTTAGCTCTGTACTGTTAGCTCTGTACGCAGAGAATCGGTATATATCACTGACATAGCACAGCCTGCAGCTTTTCCTCTGGATCCCCGCTGCTCTCCCCCACCTGTATGGGCAGAGGCAGCAGGGATCCGAGGAGAAGTGAAGGAAACGCTGCA